TATATTAAAAAATCGATTCAGGATTTTAATGAATCGATATCACGTTATCCAAGCCAGGATCGATTTTAATCGATGAATCGATCATCAAAACCCACCCCTACTGTGAAGCTAACACAATGCTAATGTGGCTAAGTTATCAATTCTTAGTTAATGGGACACAAAGCTATCAGATAGCGTGCTAATGTGACATTAGCTTAGATAAGGTAAACCTTAAATAGGCTAACAGCAGTAAATGAAGCTAGAGCAACATAAAAAGATGATTTTCTCGACTAACGTCAGCTAACGTGTCGTAGTGTTAGCGTGGCTAATATCTGAGAGCAGGACATGAAGCTAATGTAAGATAAGAAGCTGCTTATTATTTTTGTGCACTACAAGGCTGTTTTAACTGTAGTGTGGCTAAGCTACAAACAACTGCTAATCAGAGTTTTGCAGTTTTATATTTTTAAATTTAATTTTATTTCTAATCCAGTTTATTTGTTATTGTTGGAAACTGTTTACTGTTAGTTTGCTTTGTTTGATTTCAGTGTTTGTTTTATTCTTCTTATTTATTTGTTTATACAATAAAAACACAGAACTTTGTGAAATCAGTTGACTCACACTCTTGTAGACAAGTCTCAGTAACGCCTCCTGTACTTAGGAGTTATTGTGCCACACTGAAAGAACAAAGATGAATCAATTTGTGCAGATTTGAATAAAGGAATCTTGTTTCGTGCACTCGGGCCTGCTGGTGTTTAAACTGAATCATGGAGCTCTTATTGTCACCCTGCAGCAGCTACGTTTCCCAGCGCTCTGCTGTTTAGACATCTGTCAGCAGACCTTTCTGTTATAGCCTGTTATGTAACTCCACTTTCCCTTCATGCATCATGCACACCAGAGTGTGTGTGTGCAATAACTTGGACACAGCGTGTGTCGGTGGGGCTTACGTCTCCCAGAATAACTCCTACGTTATATCACGTCTTGTTCTCTCAGGATATTCTCCCGCAGATATTTTCATATACGTGTTCGATACGAGGAGCTGGCTTTCACTGTTTGTTCTTTGCTAATAGCACATTATTAATTTATAGTCAGTTATCAGGGAGCCCTCTTTCTGTTCGTTGAGCAGTCGAATTCTTAGAATTATTAACTCATCTTTGGACATTTCTGTGCAGGGATTGGCTGGGATTCAACCTGCATGGACACAGGAATCAGTATTCATAATTTAGTATTGTGTGTTTTTGCTTTTATGCTTTTACTAGTCAAAACTAGTAAATGAATAAAAAAATGACTTAAGATTCAAATCTTAACAAGTACACGTGAAATGTAAAGCTCATTTTGTTTTAGTCAGAGCAGTTTAGTTTCAGTGCTGGTAGACGCCGTGCAATCAGCCTCTGCTGAAGCTGCTCTGAGAGCTCGCTCCACATCTTTGTGCGTGTAGCTGTCACTACGAGGAAGCAGTTGTGGTCTACATGTGGGTGTAGGTGAAGCTGCTGCCCCACAAAAGAGGCAAAAATGGTCAAAGTTAATCCTGTTGTCAGTGTTGGGTCAGAGAGACGGAGTCATATCACACCAGTCGTTTGTGTCATTAATAGTTAAGCACATATACTGTAAACTGTGTCAAAGTGACACTGGAACCATCTTAGGTCATTGATGGAGGACCACAGAAGGCCGTCCCACTAGGATTAGCACTCTATCATAGTAGTACTGGGCTTAGGGCAGCATCATTCCCCGGAATCTCCTATTTCCTGCCATAGCTGGACTGGCCATCAGGCATACCGGGCATTTGCCTGTGGGCCATGGTGATTTTTGATTTTGATTTTTGTAACGGTATAAACAATGAGAGGTGGTGGATTGTCCAGATGCTG